CCAAACACACACACATACACACACAAATCTTGAATCATAAATAGAAATAATAAACAAAAGACAATAGAAGTCTTTCTCTGATTTTCAAAATTATCTTCCGTCTCGCAATCCTAGGCTGTTATTATAGTTCCCCAAGAAAGGTCGACGATCTTGTTAACTAAGGGAGACAGCATTAACATTATTATAGTGGTAAGTAACGCTTGTGGACACAACAACGTTGTGCGATGGAGAATTGATTACTCGTGGGGCTGGGTGGAATGTCCCTGTCTGGAACTGTACGACACGGGGGCAAGTGTGACGTCAGTTGACGAGCTAGCTGCGTCATCTCTCACGCATGCGTGGAGCCTTATAAACCCTCGCTCCAATACTCTTTATTTGAAAATTGAATTAAGAGTGTGTGTGAGGTGTGGCTGGGGGGGGGGGGTGATCAGCAAAGCAGGAAGAAAGCCGTGGGTAATAATTTTCTAATTTTCTTGTTGTATAGTATAAATATCCCCCCACCCTCACACACACACACACAAATGACATTATTGTGTAAAAATATGATGATGTAAATTGTCGAAATTGTATCGACAGGAGAGTAAAAAACACCTATATTTTAAAGAAAATATAGGTGCGTGTGCACCAGAACACATTTGTATAAGAAGGCTTTTATGCAATTAAAAATAAATTAGGGTCTGCAACAGGGAGACATTTACACACAAAAGAGAGAGGAAGTATGAAAAGATGACATACGCCCTTTTACAAATTATGATGCAATATTAACATGCACCCGTCACCTCCTGCTGCCATCATTCCTTCAATAGTTGGCTACTCTTTTGGAATAATACCACTGAAAAGACCACACAGTTCAACCAAAAACTGCGAAAACAAAAAAATAACGAAGCAGGGATGAATCAGTTAATTAATGAAGTCATCTGTCGATTTTCATTTCAATTATTGGCGCGCGGTCGCGAGTAGAACTGTTACTGTATTTGGTGCGTGCTAATAAATAGAGAGAGATTTGCGTGTGCATACGTCTGTGTTGAGGGGATGGTGGAAAGAGAGGGGGGCGGAGGAG